TTATTTCTGATATTGATCATATTAGGTCCACATAGCCCCAAGGTGAAAATTGATGCTACTTATAGTCTTTGATTGAATAGCTTCAAATGTTATAGGAGATGAGTATGCTTACCTATGCATTGCTAATAAATAGAATATTCAAATGAAAGCGGCTCTTATGTGGACAAAAAGTGATTTCTCGGCCTATGGGATGCTAGTTAGTTGGAGCATAGCTGAGAAATTGGTCTGCCCTTACTGCATAGATATGTCAAAGGCATTTACTTTAAAACATGGACGGAAAATAGCTAATTTGACTGTCATAAAAAATTTCTGGGTTGCAATCACCCATTTAGAAGGAACAGAGATGAATTATTCAAAAACAGAGTTGAAAAATCAAGTCCGCCCCCCATGGTAACTAGATTCAAAATATTGCAGACGATCAGTGAAGTACCAAAGATCACCGAGAGACTAGAGTTAGCTTCAACGCATCTTCCTAATTTTGGTGTCACACACAACTTGACTAAGTGAAGTATATTATGGGATCTTCTGTACTGAAAAACTAATCTAATTAGACATAATCTTGATGTTATGAATATTAAGAAATATTTTTTTGAGAACATCTTCAATACTGTGATGGATATCAAAGGTAAAATGATAGATAGTGTGAAAGCTAAAATGGACCTGAAATAATGTTGTAAAAGGAAGGCATTATAACCTTAGGAGACAAATGCAGGTAAATTAATAAAACCCAAAACTGCATACTATCTTACACTAGATCAACAGAGAACAATATTTGAGTTGGTGAATTCTATGAAGTTTCTCAGTGGTTATGTTTCAAATTTGAGTCATTGTTTTGACTTAAGAATGGGGAAGGTAATTGACATGATAAGTCACGACTGTCATATATTTATGCAGTGCTTATTACCTGTTGCATTTCATGCAACCGAAGCTGGTGCTTGATCCATTGAATGAAGTCAGTATATTCTTTAGAGAGTTATGTGGAAGGACATTGAATGTTGACTCGTTGAGACGCCTTGATGCGAGTATTCCCCTATGTCTATGCAAGTTTGAGCTGATACTTCCTCCAAGTTTTTTTTGACTCTATGGAGCTTCTATTTATGCATCTATGTTATGGAGCTATATTGGGGGCCTAGTGCAGTACATATGGATGTATCCCTTGATAGGTATATCTTCCTAACACATGCATTACGAGTAGAATTTTATTTCATACTAAACAACCACTATATTAAATATAAAATACCTTGTGTTCCATATTTTTAAATAAAATTAAGAAATCAATAATTAAGAATAAAGCCCGCCTAGAGGGATTGACCTGAGAAGCATATATATTGCAAGAGACCATAACTTTCTCCTCATATTATTTTGAACTAGACCATCAAATAAGTCATATTTTAGGTGACATACCCTCACATGCAGAATTATTCCTATTTTAAATATCAAGGAGTCACTAGGGAGACATGGTACATGATATCTAAGCGATAAGAAAATTTAGTTAGTTGCATTATATGTTCTGATGAATTATGATGAAGTTCAGTCATTTATATAGTAAGATTCATGGTCCTCAAATTCAATACTGTCATTTATTATTGAGAATGTTATTTAGATACTAACTAATTCAAAAATGTGCATAGCAATGTTGTGAGCAGATTATTTATCGACAGATTGAACATGCAAGAAGAGTCTTTGATAAGCAAAAAGGTCGAAGCAGAATTTCCAAAATGGTTCAAATTATGCATAATAAATATAATAACTCTTCAAATCACATGTATGTAATATAATTTCTACGTTTAAAGTTACACTAATAGTACATCTCAAATTGTTATAGGTTCACAATAGAGCCAACGGAATCACAGATCAAAGATTACTATATATTGCCTGGGGGCATAATCACAGCGTTACTACATGTCAGATATTTAACATAAATGATTATAGATTCTATATGAGTTCTTGGTGCGAAGGGAAGAAAACATATAATTACAGTGTCGCTGTTAAAAAAAAAACACACACATAGATAGCGATATTAGCTATTACGACGTACTTGATGAAGTAATTCAATTGTAATATTAATGTAATACTAGTTACATTGTATACTTATTCAATTGTTAGTTTTTCAATCTTATTCTGAATCGAGGAACGCGAACACTTGCGCCTTATGATATTATTGAAATTAAAATGAACAGACGATATACAAAGTTTGGTCCATTTGTTCAGGCACGCCAAGCTACACAGGTTTATTACCATCAATACCTTAGTAGAGTAAGATATAAAGCTGATTGTGTTGTGGTTATGAAGAATTAATCAAGGAAAATTATTGAACTGCATAGCACTATGGAACTAATTCTCCAGGAGGAAGGTATGTCAGATTTTCGTATTCATGGCATCAAAAATGATGACAAGTTTGTGGTAGAGGATACCATAGGGATTTTTGAAGAGGTTCCTCATGGTATGGATGAGGATGATGATGACAGTGAAAAAAAAAATTAGGTTCATATTCGACGACAAGCTCCTCTGATGAAACTTAATAACAAAGGTATGTAATTTTAAATTAGTTATACTATTACTTTTTTTTTAATTTTGTTGTATTGATGCATATATATTTAATCTTGCTTTTCCTATTTTTAGACATAGATGCTACTTGTGTCTTACCTTTATTGCACAGTTTCTTTCTATTTATGATTATTTTTTTTGTCGGTACTAATCTTATTAATGCCATTCATTTGTTTGTTGATGGTCATAGTGCAGGTGGTCAGCCACCTCACAGATCACGTTTTCTGGGGCACTAGAGACCACTTATCGTGATAGGAAGAGAAGGTTGTCTACTTATGTTATTTCCTCCCCCATTTGTTGTTGTCACCCCTCCTGTGACACTTGCTCCAAAACCCGCTGCTACCACCTCTTCTATGACTCCTACTCCCGCATCTGCTGCAACCCCACCTCCTATGACACCTGCTTCCCCATTGACTGCTTCCCTGCTTACTGCTTCTGAACCTACCCCCCACCTGCCGTGACTACTATTGATGCTGACACACTTATTGCCCCAACACCTTTTTTGAACATACTAATTGTTGATATTTGTCAGCCGCCAATGTCTAATGATAACATTATTGGTTGCTCGATTTCTCTTAATATAAAAGAACTACTGTCATTTGCCCACCATCATTAGTAATGACTCAAACACGTCAAGGTTTCTATTACTAATGTAGATGATATTTATTTATTGAAATTCACGTGCCATATACATTATTATCCCCTCCAGTTGCGGGGAACCTTTGTTATCCTTTCATGTATTATTTGAATTATTTCAACTTGACTAGAATGTACAACATTTTCCTTCCTAAAAATTTTCATAAAAAAGTCTTACATTTCATATACATTACCTTAACCTATCTATATGCGTGTGTAGAACTTTCATACAATGCTAAAATGATAAACTTGCTCTTGCCACTTTCATAAAAAATCAAACAAACACAAACATAGCAATAACACAAGAAATAAGACAAACAAAACAAAAAAAAACCTTGCAATAGGGCAAATAGCATATATTCCCTCACCTCTACCGTGATATGACTTCACCAATAAACAAGTAATAACCCTTGCAAATGGCATATATCATAGCAGCCCATTTTTGTGTGCATCTACTATTTTATTAATATAAACAAATAGAATTTAGTTAGATATTCACTGTTATGAAACGGTTTGATCTCTTATATTTCACTGAGTAATGGTTTCAATTTTTTTCTCTTTTAATGATTAGATTTTTTATTTAAATTTCTTTCATATATATATATATATATATATAAAAGAAATCGGTATTTGGCGGAGACCCAAATACTGATTTCTCATGCGCTAGGCCCCATGATGAGAGCCCACGCCATGTGCCTAAAATTTGAGAACCAAGCGTCACTAGGGATCGAACCTATGACCTGAGAGAACTTACAGTGAACCCCGCCAACCAAAAGGCCACGGCTTGCGGCACTATGAATCGATATTTGACCCAGTGGGCACCAAATAACGCTTCCCCCATTTGGGTCGAGACCCAGGTGTGCTATAATTGATCCGAAGAGCCTGCGCCACGAGATTCGAACCCCCAACGTGAGGAACTTATGCTAGAGGCCGCACCAATGAGCTGGGACATGGAGCGCGCGAGCGCCCACACACACTATGTGTGTGCTCGCATGCGTAACGTGGTTTGTTGGTAGAGGAACCTCTCTGAAGATCGTAAGTCCCCACAAGTCATGGGTTTGAATCTACTTGTCTATGTGATGGGGTGCTCGATAATTTAGCACACCTAAGGATGGTCGGGGCTTGTCTAATAGCCTTCGGTCATTCCTTCTAACACATATATATATATAGTCACACACACACATAAATTCGGAGCATTTAGATACATACCACCCAATTCTCATGCATGTACATATCAAACACCGAAACTTTCATATTTACATACATAAAACTCCAACTTTTACATCACATCAAACATATCACTGATTTTAAAATTTTAAGAGCGAAGTAACCTTTTCATGCATAGCTTCATAACATCAAAATATTATAAATGTAAATATCACAGCTTAGGTGTTACATCTCTAAATACAAAAAAATTGTGAGGCATGTATGCAAATTTCCCATAATCAAGCAGCCAGAATTTCCCATCCCTGCAAAGAGAACAGCTCACTTTGCTCCATGATTCCCTCCAAAGGAGAGCCAAAGAGCAACGAAGCCGCACTTATGCAGGTCAAAAGGCTTCCCACTTTGCATTGTATCATTCCCAAACTTTAAGAAAGAATAAATTTTTGAAGCTACCCATAGATTATATTCATAGCCATGCCCAAACAAAATCAGCATAAGCCACAGCTCCTTCCCACCCTTTTTGACACTCAAAAACACTTATTTTATGCAACAATTTGCTCTTAAAAGGAGATTCTATAGCATCCATTAAGCCAATATATACACATATATATTGCTTCATCGCCATTGAGATCTCGCACCAAAGCTCAATTTGACTCGCCCCCTAGTGTTTTTCATAAGCAAGACATGTCGAGGGATCCTTTAGTCGTCGGTAGTGTTGTTGGGGATGTTCTCGACCCATTTGTTAGGACGGCGACAATGAGAGTGATGTATAACAACAAGGATGTCACCAATGGCTCGGACCTCAAGCCTTCTATGGTGGCAAAGGAGCCTCGAGTTGAGATTGCGGGACGTGATAGTAGGACTTTTTATACGTTGGTAAGCGGTTTAAGTAAATAAAGTTTGTTTAGACTGATTATGCTTATCGGGGTTCAAATTAATAATGTATTTGATGCAAAATTATTCGCATGGCTCAATAACATCATACTGAAATGAATGATTAACCACTGAAATCTTGAAAAATTGTCTGCATGGATTTGTGATTCAAGCAGATGAATGAAATATAATATCATATTACTATTTTTCAATGATGCTATTTTTCTAATTCTTAAGTAATATGATAATTGTAAAGGTGATGATAGATCCTGATGCCCCTAGCCCAAGCAATCCAACAAAAAGAGAACACCTGCACTGGTAAACATCTTTCCTGCTCCTAAAAATATAATCTTTCTCAGAAAGTTTTCATCCCCAACATATAAAAACTGCATTAGAAAGCTCATTTGGATGCTAGAAATAAGCAATCAAATTCAAGAAGAATGATTAATTTTGGTAAACAAAACAACTGTTCCAGTTCATATCAGAAACTCAGAATGATCACTCATCAAAACTAATTAATTGTCATTACCACAACATTTTAGGTTGGTGATAGACATCCCAGAAACAGCAAATGCAAGTTTTGGTGAGTTCCCATAACAACACAACCGAGTTCATAACCAAAATCAATTTTCAATCATTTTTTTCGATAAATTTTCGATCTTTTTTCGTTCTAGGAAACGAAGTTGTCTGTTATGAGAGCCCGAAGCCGACGGCCGGAATCCATAGAATTGTTTTTGTGTTGTTCCGACAATCTGTTAGACAGACTATATGTGCACCTGGGTGGAGACAGAACTTCAATACCAGAGAGTTTGCACAGTGTTATAATCTTGGCTCTCCTGTGGCTGCCATGTATTTTAACTGCCAGAGGGAGAATGGCTGTGGTGGTAGAAGGTATTGCTATATCACAGATTATTTATTAAATTAATTCACATAAATCTAAGTTTTATGTTCTTTTTTATTTCATCAAATGCCTAGCAGACATATTAAGTGGTATATATTCTAATTAATTTTTCATTCTACTATAGAATGGGCATTTACATATATGCCTCCAAATTCCTATGTATTTACATATCTAACAGCTAAGCTTTATTTTTTTTCACTTTAGCCTCCCAAATATTTTATGGCAACTCAACAAATTTATCATTTTAACTTTTAAAAAGTGAAATGCAGCTTCTCACAGATAGAAAAAAGCGGCATGCATGTAAAAATCAAAGAAGACATCAACGTAGGTGGGAGCCAGAGTAAATAGAATAAATGGAAAGCATTGCAAAAGTTTTAGTCCCGCATCATCAAAATATCTCATAGATTTGTTTTTTAAATACAAAAGCATTTTCTTATAACATATGTTAAAGTATATGTATGGATGGACATTTACCCAATTATGAGAGAATATTGTGTGCGGAATTTACATGATATGGACTCTTTGTTCAATCAACACATTTGTATGCCTAATATTTTACTCTCAACTATGCATGACAGAAATCATCAGACCCATGCATAATTGAGGGTACACACACACACATGCACAGATCATCGGACCCATGCATAATAAAGGGTACACACACACATGCACAGATTTTCGGACCCATGCATAATTGAGGGTAAAATACTAGGGCATGCAAACGCGTTGCATAATATGATTGTACAAGATGTTCACATCATGCAAATTCCGCACACAATATTATCTCATAGTTGGATGTATATATTTTATGTGTCGCTGGCCATGACTCTTTGGTCGACAGAGTTTGTAAGACCCCTAGGGTTACAGGTTTGATCCCGTCTGTGTACAGAATATAACTATTAGGCGCATAAGATTGATCGGGATGCTCGTCTAACAGTGTCTAACTGATATTACACACACACGTGCACACACACACACACATACTTTATCCTAATACTGCTTGGAATAGAGAAATATGTTACTGAATGTAATGTTGCATGGAAGGTACGTTGCTAGTGGATGGATTTGACTTATCATCAGAGTCAACCGTGAAGAAGAGGCCAGTATACAGCTCCAGATTGTGGCATAAAGTTGGAGCAATTACATCTCTCTCTCCCTTCATCTCTCTCTCTCTCTATCTCTTCAACTACGAGTTGACCTTCAATCAAAATGTAAAAAGGAAATATTTTCTGATGTGCTTGAATAATGTATGTATCCTATTCAGGTACTGAAATGATATTGTGGTGTTTTATGAGCGTACTCCTGATTGTGATTGTTAGCTCTGATAAGGGCTCGTTTGAGCATGCATCTGATCTCCGTTCCGTCGCAGAAATAATCGAGCGAATATTGATCTTTCATTTGCCTGAAAAAGTTATTTCGAAGCGTAACTGCCGCAACATTTCTTTTCGCTATTTTTAGATGGCGTTCCACAATCATTTCTGTATGTTTTTTATAATTTTTTTTTTTTTATGGAAAATATTGATGCTTAAATTTTTATATTCAAACAGCGGTGTAAGCCTTTTCAAATTCTCAATTCTTTGATCGTGACACCCATAAATACATTGCTTCCATAGTTCAAAAAAATAAATGGAAAATTACATACATTCTTCTGGATTTACGTATCTCACACCTAGACTTTCATTTTTACGCACACAACAGTTTATATATGGAAGAAAAGATGAATTTGACTATTAAAAAATGATAACGAGTGCTATTTTCATATGATATTTGTAATTATGAAAATTTATGTGTGAGACAGATAAATATGAATATTTTGGTTGTTATATATCTAAATGCCCCAAAAATAAAATACGAATGTTTTGGTCGGCCCCTTTAACATAATCACATTACTCTCTTTATTGGACCACCTAAGAATATGATCAAATAATTTTCATATAAATTTATTTTGAGTGTGATGATTCTCTATTCTCTTCACGAAGGCATAGATTCCCAATCATAATAAGTCTAATATTCAATTAATCCTAATCTAATCCATCCCAAATATACAATATTTAGGGTCTCTTTTGGGCAGCTGCAACTTATTAAAAAGTAGCTGTGAAACTGTAGGATAACAATCTGATGCTCAAAAAGTCAGACCGCAGCTATAAAGTCGTCACCACACTTATAAAGCCGTCACCGCGACTAAGCAGTAGTGCTGGGAAAACATAAATTTCAGCGACAAATTTTTTGGGAGATCCGTAAATAATTGTATATATTTACATATCTTAATACCTAAATTTTAACTTTTATATTTATGCCAACTTAGTTATGGATGAAAATATGTATTTTATAATTTTGAAGTTAGAATAATAAAATTTTATGTGATATGAAATATTTGAGTTGTATGAATGTAAGAAATAAACTTTAGGATACGGTTATGTAAATATATAGGAATTGAATGGTATATATATATAGTTATAATCCATATAAATAGCCCATAAATCCCTAAATTAGCAATAATTACTTCGCAAAGAACCACCAATAGGGCTGAGACTTTAGCTCAAAAATTGCAAAAATTTTTCTGTGCGGACTCCTGACGTAGCTCTACATGCGGCGCAGGGTATTCCTGAGTTATTTTCGGGTTATTTTTGGGTTATTTTCAATAATTCTGAAATAACCCAAAAATAAAGACCGCGAGTTTTTATTTTTGGGTTATTTCAGGATTATTAAAAATAACTTATAAATAACCTGAAAATAACTCAGGAATAACATGCATCGCACGTAGAGATACGTTAGGTGTCCGGACAGAAAATGCATACCAAAAATTGATTCATATTTTTTGGTTCAACTCAAGATTGAATTGAAATAAATGAGTCGAACTACAAATCAAAATTTTGGAACGAATCTTTTCGAGCCGACTCAGTTCGGTTAGAAATCAGATCGTTAATCGATCTGATGATGTTAGGACTGTAAATTTAGCACGATCATCATAAATTGATTGAAAATTAACTTAAAATTTGTCAAAATTTTAAATCGAATCTTTAATAGCACTAACCAGCGGCGGTCCACTGGCCCTGACAGCGAGGAAAAACCCGGTCGACCAAGCGAACCGAAAGGGCGAAATAAGCCGGCGGTTTATCAAGATCCCCACCCCGCCACCCAGATTTCTTCCACTCTGTTCTCTCAGAAGTTTCTCTTCTCCGATTCACCTAGGGCGAAAGGTACTCCTTTTTACCCTTTCTTTTATCAATTTTTTTGATTGATGACTTGGCGTCAAAGGAGTTAGATTTTATCATCACATTTCATTGTTTTGAGCACAATTATTTCTGCCCTCGATGGAATCTAACCTTCTTGATCTGCTGCTGAACTAAGGATTTGTAAGCTTCAAGTTAGATTACTCAAACTTTGATGAGATAAAATCAATAATGTATACGTCGTTGAAGTTTTTTCGGTACTTTAGAAGTTCCAGAATCGTTTTGATGGGGGGATTTCTTCCTTTTATTCACTTATTCTGCTGGGATTGCGTTTAATTAGGGTTTTCAAACTTGATTGTTTTTCAGAGGTCTGATGAGCTGCAAAATCCTTAAGAGTTTTTCCTTTTTTTTTTGGTTTATTTTGAAATGGTGAGTGTCAATGCACAAATTTGATGTAAGGATTCGAACTTAGAACCTTTGATAATAATTTTGTTGCATAACTTTGTCATCTAAAAGCTACCAAACACCCCGTAAGTTTCAATCGAGCTTGAATGAATAATTTAGTTAGATCTAACATAAATTACATTGTAAAATTTGACATAATTCAGTTCATAGTCTTTTTTTCTTCTAACCTATGAATGTAGATGAAACTAATACATTACACAAACTAATTTAAATGAAACTTTTTAAAAATATAGATGTTGGGAACAAGCTTAAGCTTTGTACTAAATTAATAGGAGCACTATCCTATATACTACATAAGTCTTATATATTTACATATTTAACACCAACATTTTCATATTTATATATATGCACTCAAATATTTGACATTACATCAAATAGATCACTATTACTAACTTTTTAGTATTGAAATACACCTTTTCATGCATAGGTTTTAACATCAAAGTGTTATAAATGTAAATATCAAACATTAGTTGTTAGATATGTAATATGTAAATGCATAAAAAATTGTGTGGTATGTATGTAAGTTTCCCAAATTAATGTTAGATGATTAATTTAAAGAGATGCGAATCAAATGGTCAGTTTTTTAATAAACTCAAGTCAAGTCACCTTTTGGAAATCAAATCAACTTGTTCTAAAAATCAATAAACAAACATTTCTATGTTTGAGCTCATTGATTCTTCTATTGAGCTTCATAATTTGCTTGAAATTTTCTTAATTGGTTAAAGAAACTTACATTTAAAACAAAACAAACATAAAAAAAACACCTAAACCAAACAGCACTATTTATAAGCACTAAGAATCTCTTATTACAAGTTCGTCGCCCTAAATTATAAAGATACAAATAACAAACTAAATCACCTAAACCAAACATATAAACTAAAATAAAACTCTAGCTCCCACGTTAGTTTCTGTTATTGCTTTTCTTTGTAGTTTCCATTCATATAGTTATATATTCAAGTGCCAAAATAGTCCTCTAAATTATTTCCGTATGGTGATTTTAATCTCATAGTTTATAAAAATGTTATATTAGTTCTCAGGTTCTTTTAATATGGATTAAAATAGTCTCAACAAAACCTATTGTAACCCTCATGAAGAGAGTCTAGGGATTAAATTAACAATTCTGAGATTAAATTAGGCCCCTACAAAGAGTTAGGAGACCATTTTGATACTTTCTACGATTATGATTTATTTGTCAAGCGCACTTCATCTCTGTCCTTTGTGCTGTGCAGTTGCCCAAATGGCCTGCTTGTTCAAATCTATTCCATCGGGCATGACCATATATGCCTTAAGTTCAGCATCAAATATACTATTGAAGAAGTCCAGGATTCCCGCTCGAAGATACTCGCCAAATTCCTTCAGAATTCGTGCAGCACAGGGCGATGAAAGCCCTCGAAGGTTGATCGATATCATCCGTATTGTCCCTGAGATCTCGAGAAACTACTTCAGAAGCCGTTCTCGGCGGGCATTGTTCGGCGGAATCTCTTTGTTAGGTGGGTTCTATGTTGCACAAACTATTTCTCTGTCTTTTGGTGCTCTTGGTGTTAATGATGTGATAGCTGCAGTTGTATGTGTTCTTCTAACTGAGTATGTGACCAGATTTTACTATAGTAGATCCCAGGTCACTTTTTCTCTTGCATTACTCAACAATTTTAAGATGGGTTTCACTTATGGTTTGTTCATTGATGCTTTCAAGCTTGCTAGCTGAGATCAGATTGCTTAATCTGGACAGTTATTGCCTTATTTTATAAGCTCTTAATGTACAGAAACTCCTCAATATAGCTTAATATTTAATTTTATGTCAATGCATTCAAGGTTCCTATATTAGACAAAATGTCTGTTTCCTTATTAGAACTCTCATGTCCTTATCTGAGTTGAATAAATGAAGATTTACATGAATAACATTCAATTCTTATGTATTTACATATCTAACAATTGAAATTAAGTTTTTGACATACATATCCCCTTTACCCATGCATGGAAATGTGTATTTCATTTTTTAAAGTTATTATGGTGATGCTTTTGTGTGATGTGAAAGATTTGGGTGGTATTAATGTAAAAAAAAACATAATTTATGTGGTATACATGTAACTACATAGGAATTGGGTGGTATGTATGTAAGTGCCCCTATGATTATTTGATTTCTAACAATAGAAAATTCAGTTTAAGGAAGATCCAATTTTTTGTTGCTTTTAGTAGCTTTCTAATATTGAAATGGTTATGTGTTGAATCTTTTTAGGACGTCAGGTTTAATTATTCATTGGCTCATACAATACGGAAAAGACCTAAAAAATGGATGTATGCTTTGAAAGTCCCCATCTTTGATCTCCCAGAAGGATGGAAGAGGGAAAAAGTAAAAAGTCGCTCTAGAAGGTGGGAGAATCTCTATTTATATAACTCGAGATGGCTTCTATATCCTCTATCGGGTTACAAAGAGAGAATGTTAAATAATTTTAGTACAATACAAGGTCTCTCCATAAAGCGCCAATGAAAGACGACAATGATATGGATGTCAGACTATCCATAATAGATGTGGAGCTCGACGAATCAACCTGACAGTTGGAATATGACAATTGGCACCCCCACAGATCAGCTCGGCGGCTCGACCTGATAGTCAAGTTGCTGAATGAGCTCAAAGAAGGAGCTGGGTGGATCAAACCGGCAGCTAGCACTTCGGCTGATGGGTTCGACGGACAGAGCTTGGCATCTGCGTTTTTAAAAGTACACACTGCCCAAGGTCTTTGGTTGCTGCATCGGTACAAAAGATTAAAAAAAGTGATTCCTCAATCTTTAATGCATGCAAAAGGTTCCATTTGCAAAATTGAAAAAAGTATATGGGAGGCTAAAATTAAGAAGACAAGTACTTGTAATAATCATACATTTCCACCACCCAAACCTTCCATATCACATAAAAAATACCATCATGTTAAAATGTGAAATACACATTTTCATACATTGATAAGGTGGCATATATGTAAAAAATTGAAGTATAGGTGCCAGATGTAAATACATAGGTATTGAGTGGCATACCTGCAAATCTTGTAAAAAACATAATGATGAGACAATTGATACAATAACATAACATAAATCATTAAATAAGCATTTTATTTAGTTATATGTTTATCTCATAATAAACAAACAAATTCATAAACATAAAAATAAACAAATGAATCAATGTTCAAGGTTTTAAATTATGCATACCAAACTTCTAAAACTTTATTTCATTTACAGTTCAATCCTTGTATATATGTAGCTCCATGTGTAACACCTGAACATTTATGTTTACATGCATACCACCCGAATTTCTAAAATGACGTAAAAAATATCGTCATCATTACCCTTTAAAAGTAAATATACTTTTTTCATGCATAGATTTATTGACACTTACATGTTATAATTGTAAATATCATATTTAGGGTGTTAGATACGTAAATACATAAGAATTGTGTGACATGTATGTCAAGAAGACTCATAAGTCATGAAAACATAAGTACATGGCATCAAATTAATGAGACTTCATGTGCGCTTTAATGCCAGCCAATTTAATTAGGTTATTTGTGATAGATTATATCTAGGATTGGGCAAGAGTAATCAATGCTTATCGATAAAAACCTAACTTCATTAAATTGATTAAGGGTCCCAACAGCCAAAAACACAGTGGCCACACTTTATTGTTGTTGTTGGAAAATGGCCGGTGGGTAGAATTGCAGTAGCACAAGTATTGCACAATTTATTACCCCAGACCTGATGCACTTGTTCATTTTAGTACTAACACCTCTCTCTCTCTCTCTCTCTCTTAAAGAATCTGGTTCTTTTAGAGATCATTAATTAATCCCTTACTATAGAAATGATCCCCCAATTTATAGGCAGGGTTACAGGTTATTCCTACTTTTATGGGAGTGTTACATGATATTTTAGGCATATAGAAAATAAAGGAGCCTATGCTTCAGTTGTCCTATTGTTCGGTCGATGAGGAACTATAATCCTTGGGTCGACTAGGTACATTCGAGCGACTTTGTTGAGTTGCGGGCGATCAGTTGGCCCTAACAGTTATTAGGTTGTTCGAACTTCGCTCGGTTGTTTGAACTTCATTTGGTTAGCTTGGGTCAGTTGGTCGATTGTCTCGGTCTGACTATCAACTGTTGAGCCTTGGATGCGAAACTCATGTTGCTGGGGTAGAATTGACTGTCAGGCAATTTGTGAATCACCGTAATCTGATAAGCAATATACCAATTTTTACAAGAGATTCATTTGGAAGGCTCGATGAATGTTCAGTGATGAGATCATTGGGCCTTCTGAAAAGCCTTGAAGGCTCTTGTGAGGCGTCTGCTGATACTCGGATAAGAGTTGGGCTAATTCCTTATCTCGGTTAGATACGTCTCGATCTTTGGCTCGAACAGCCTTGTTCAGTTGGCCTGAATCCTGTTCTGAGAGAGTTGTGGCCAGTAAATGGGATCATTTGGTTTTCTATTAACGTTGTCTCAACTCTTTCTGACAGGCCATCTTTGACCCTTTTGTCCTGTAGTCTGTTAAATTTGCTCGAGATTCATGCTAACAAATTTCTGACATATAAATGGCCATGAATATCTCTACCCAAGTAGTTCACAACTTCATCGAAGTTAATGGTGTGGGTGTGGAGGATGATGGTCACATGTTGCATGAGGGATATAGAGAGAGAGATACTTTTCACCTTCAGAAAAAATTTGCGTACATCAAGGGGTACGCAGAGATGCGTACATAATAGGGTACACGGGGTTTATACGGGGATTACAAGGAGGTTATAACCCGTTGTACCTCCCGTGTAACTCCCGTGTAACCCCGTTGTAACCTTGTAATCTCAATGGATAAAATAAAAGCGCGGGTTACAGTTGAGTTACACCAAAGTTACAAGAAAGTTATAACACGCTTGTAACCCTTATGTAACCCCCATATAACGCCCGTGTACCCTATTATGTACGCATCTCCACGTACCCCTTGACGTACGCAAATTTTTTCCTTCACCTTCACCCTTGATCATGTATCTTCATGCTTCGAAGTTTTTCTTTAAGTTATAAATTGGCAGCTAGTAATTTCTATTACCCTGACAAGTGAGAGCATTAAATATATAGCAAAAGAGAGAAGAAGATGCTCAGGAGTAAAGTAAAAGGATTTGAAGCATTTTAGATGAGCCTACTTTGTCATCTTAAATTCTAAGTCTGCCCACATTTTAATGACTGGTTTTTGATGATTGCCATTTTATAGTTCCCACACATCCTCATACTTGATCAATCAAAGGAAGCCAAGCTATTTTTTCTCTCTCCCTCTCTCTCTCCGTAGTAACTTTTCTCTCATTAGAAGAGAAGACTGCTACAACTGGTATTACTTCTAAAAAACTTTTCTTATTTCAAAATCATGGATCAACCGGAGCTCTCTCTAGGCTCCTCGCTATCTTCCTTCTCCGATAGAACCAACAGTTCTTCTGAATCATGAATCAACAGGAAGAATGTCCTACCTGAATAAGAAAACTTAAAAGAAGAGTTTGCTGAAGCCGGAGGAGCAGAAGCTAGACGCAGATCTCAACAAACCAAATTCCCCAAACTTTGAAAACAACAAAAACTGTTCTCTAACCACAGAAGACACGCAGAAGCAGAGGAGTTGCAGCAATGGTGGGTTTGCCATTGCAGTCATAGTTTGCCTAAACTGCCACCTTCTTGTCATGCTCTACCAGGTACATGAACTTCCTGCTCCGACCACCAGCACCAAAAAAGGAGACTTTTAAGTCCCTTGAAACGCTAAGCCTAATCCATTAGCCCACCATATTGCTATATGTTATGAACAAGTCCATGTACAAAGATCATGTAGGTAAGGAGAAGTTTTAATTTAATTATTACTGTTTTAACTGTGCTTTATCAATGGTGATTGGGGAAGTTACATAAATACCACTCACTTCCTTTGTATTGACATATCTGACACATAAACTTTGCATAAGGTGGTATATAAGTAAATACATAAAAATTGGGTGTTATATTTGTAAATCTCCCATGATGATTAAAGCATTCAACAAATAAGAACAGGGGACCTAAAATTACACATACATGCTTATATCGAGGCACACATAAGATATCTTTAATACAACTAAAGCATTCAACAAATAAACCTAAGGAATAGGGGCTACTTATTGTTATTATTTTTTTCAAAATGATTATGTTTTTAGGAAGATTTACATACAAGCCACATATTTCTTATGTATTAAATTATCTAACATTTACACTTTGATTTTTATATTTATATGACTTCACCTATGTTTGAAAATGTATATTTCACTTTTTAAAGTTAGTATTAGTGGTTTGTTTTATTTGATTCCAAAGATTTGAGGGTTATTAAAATCAAAGTTCAAGTGTCAAATATATACATGCATAAGAATTGTATGGCATGTATGTAAATTCTCTTTTTTTATTAAAATTGAGAGCGAGATGTCACCTCCCGAAAGAGCTCTTGTGGGTGGTGGGCAGCTCAGGACTTAAATACTATTTTTCGGCTCTACACCTAGCCAATGTAGAATTATTTGTCCGTGACAGAAAGCTCAAATAAAATTGAAAGAATAAAAAAAATACTACATTAATAGCGGATTGTCTGGGGATTAAAAACTCTTTAACCAAAAGAGACAAGAAGAAGAGCTAAAGCAACATTATGAGTTAAATGGTGAAAAAAATTAACAAAGTAAAGCAAGGAATTGGATGGTAAGGGCTTAAAATCTTGATAGTGTTTCACTTTGCAGTCAGGTCTTGAGAACAGAATGTTCTTCTCTGTTGAGGAAGTTTATTGTGGAGCTCTTGATTGGGAGCTCTTTCTTGTTGGATATGCTTTCAAACGAGACCCTTTTATAGATCTTTATTTGCAAAAATCAAAAGGTTAAGGGAACCTAAAGATATACAGTATACTCGATCAACTCTCTCTCTAATGGATTCTTTTTGTTTTGGTTCTCATGCCAAGAGGATTTTAACACTCCTTGGTTTGTAAATCCAAGATTCATTAATGGTAAGCCTTGTGTTTAAAAAATGAACTGGGACTTCAAACCAGATAGAGATGGTTTTAATCTAAGGGGTTTAACATAACCGATGTTATCAACTTGAAATCTAAGTTTCCAAGATAAAAGTAGACCCCTCTGAGTCTAGAAAGCCCATTTATGCTCATGCAGTCAATCAAATTGATTTACTTAAGACAAGTTTTTTCTCAAGTTCTGGTGGATCCATTTTCTAAGCGAAATTTTAAACTTTGTTCACTTCTTGAGATAGCTCTATCAACTTCTCTATCGTTTCTGGAGAATTTTAGCAAAATTTGTTTCACTCCTACATTGATTCACCAATAATTCATTGATGAAATTGTTAAAGTGAATAATAGTGCGAAGTTTCGTCATACTTCGATTTATGCTATTAATTTGTGTCTGATAGAAAGCATCTTTGGGAGGCTTCCAAAAATCTGCTTTTCTAGCAATTTAGCTTGGATTATTCAGGTTGATCTCAATTATATCAGAGAGAGTATTATAAGAGGTTATTAAACTCTTCATTCAAAACCAGTTAACTTTAATAATTGCACCTTTAAGGTTAGTCTTCTTATCTCGCCTAGTCTGGGCCTCTTCTATTCTTTGTGTGATAATCAACCTAATGAGCTTATCAGATCCATGCCGGAAGAGCTCTTGTCAACTCCCATTGGTTTGACCTCTTCCTTAGTTCTTTTTATATAATACTCTCTTCCTTTTGCTCTGACAATTCCCCTCATCATCACTTATGAATCTTTTCTTAAGTTAATCATGATTTAATTTTAGACATATTGGACCAGCACTGGTTTCAAGAATGTCAATCCAAAGTGTTTGGTCTGCTTTTGTCAACAAGGATCATATCTCTATGTTGTAGCGCCAGGAAGGGGGAAGAAGTGAAAAGAGTTAACCACATCAAGGCATTTTTGACAATCTGGTTATAAGGAATTTCATTGAAAGTCCTCTTACTGATTACTTCTAATATGTATTAAATTATCATTTATCTCTTCAATGCTCATATTTAAACTTTGAACGTTCACCTTCCTTCCATTCTCAGGTTATTCCCACCCTTTTTATTTGTTTTTTTTTTTTTTTTTGAAAGGGAGGTTATTTCCACTTGAGGTAAGGGAAGCAACACGAAACTGCAGGTTTTGCACTGACTGTTATGGTAATTTCATTATGTTTCTAGAAGTAAAATTCGTTGAAAATGGATGAAACTAGCAAAACATGAGGAAAACTGAAAGAAAACTTACATATCAGACGTGGTTGGAGTTGACATGAATGTTTTTGTTGAACAGTCATCTTTAGGAGTCGACAATGCAAGAGAATAGTAGTACTTGATTCGAAAAAATGTTGCTCTTCGTTAACCTGAGTTCCAGAATTATTAGTTAGGCCAAATATTATCACGTAACTGTTTCATGTGAATATCAAGCAAGGAAGAACTATTAGCCTGACTCACCTAAATATTGTAGAAATTTAGTAGTGGACAGAAATTTTTCTCAAGTCAATCCCCAACATGCACGCATCTTGATTTACTATCACTAAGAAAAAGTAGAACTAACATAATCAGCTAAAATTCAAACTTATCAGCTTCCAACAAGAAAAATGAGAAAAAATTTTGCAGGGGACTATTTTAGTAATAGATTTCATAAGTGTCAATTTAATTCTCAGAATATTTTAATATGTGCTGAAATAATCCTCAATGAAAACTATTTTAGCTTACATCAGAAGGGTATAGGGACTTATTTAGTACTTTTATAAATTATGGGACAAAATGATCCCATGTAAATAGTGACTATTTTCGCACTTTACTCGAACAAAAAATTGATCACCTATGCCAGTTCTGAAGCACTATGGACAAAGTATCAATCATTCATATTTTGCCTTTCAAAATCCATTATACAGTTACTTGCTAACCATCTTTATATTATGGCCACAAACTTCATAACTCCAGTTTAGGTCCTTTCCCTCTCATCAAGGCATGAGTAAGGTATCATCATCCGAGCCTTCTTCCCACTATTTGGTTCAGCATTATAAATCCTCATTCTCTATTCACCATGGTTGAGTCTTGCAAGAGGAAGCCATAGTTCCAGAAATCCTAATACTGGAATTGGCTTATCAAAGCTAAAAAACTTCTCTCCCTCTCACTATTTTTTTTCCTTCCTTCTCACTAGAGTGCATGTAAATCACATCCAATATCTCATATATACTTTCAGAAGAAATATGTGATCTATCTGCAACAAAAAATTCATGAGACTTTCCTTCAATCTCTATTGAGCTGCAGCCTGGAACCTTCTTAACTCTCCTATCCCTCATCATCGCCCTCAACTTCTTCACTTCATCCCACCTGTTCCAAGTTGCATAAATATTTGATAAAAGTGAATAGACTCCACTATCTCCAGGCTCCATTCCCAGAAGTTTTTCTCCAACAAAATGACCAATTTTCAAATCACCATGAACCCTACAAGCATTAAGAAGGGCACCCCAGCCAGCCTCGTCAGGCTCCATAGGCATATTCCTCACCAATTCAAAGGCATCTTCTAAAAGTCCAACTCTACCAAGGAGATCAACCATACAAGCATAATGTGCTGGCTTAGGCTCGATTCCAAACTCTGCTTTCATACCAAGAAAATATCTCCGCCCCTCCGAAACCAAGCCAACATGGCTGCAAGCAGTGAGAACTCCAACAAAAGTTATATCATCAGGAACCAAAGTTTCTCTTTTTAGTCGCTCAAAGAGCTTCACAGCCTTGCTTCCATTGCCATGAAATGCATATCCCATTATGATTGAGTTCCAAGACACTATATCCCTCTCGGTCATTTCATCAAATATTTTTGCTGCAACATTGATGGCTCCACATTTAGCATACATATCTATAAATGCATTTGACAAATTCAAACTAAGTTTCAGTACTTTTTTTTCAATGTAGTGTTCATATATCCATCGTCCAAGATCCAAGCGACCGCAACGACCGCATGCTGAAAGCACACTCACGAGAGTTGCAGCTATTGGTTCTACATTATCTACGAGCATCTCCCGGAAGAAGCTTATTGCTTCTTCTGACTGATTTGCTTGAGCGTAGCCAGCAATCATACTGCTCCAAGAAACAACATTTTTTTCAGGCATGTTATCGAATAACTTCCGTGCATATTCCAAATCTCCATTTTTGGCATACCCACTCATCATACTAGTCCAGGAGAAAACATCCCTAGTATCCAAACAATCAAAAACTCTTCGTGCAGATTCTAAGCATCCACACTTCCCATACATACCTACTAAGGCATTCATCAAATTAAGGCTCTCTGCTAAACAAATCTTTTCAGCATAGCCATGGAATGACCTTCCCAGATTCAAGGAACCAGTATGGGAGCAAGCTGAAAGCACTGTGATTAATGTCACCGCATTTACCTGAACACCCATGGTTAACATACACTGAAACATCCTTAATGCATCAGTGTAATGGCCTTTTTCAGAATAACCGTCAATCATAGTAGTCCAGGAAACAACATCTCTGTCAACCATTCCATCAAACAGTTTCCTTGAACAATCTAACTGTTCTAACTGTATATAGTAATGTATCAATGCGTTTTGGACGAGGATTTCAAAACCAATCCCCCATTTGAAAGCTAGAGCATGAATTGCTTGTCCTAATAAGAAGTCTGATGAGTACTCACAGCCTTTAAGCACGAAGACAATTGTTCTGCAGTCGAAATTCATCTTTTTGGCAGTCATGTCACGGAAGAAGGAGATGCCCAGAAGGGGAGATCCACATCTGATGAATCCCCGGATCATGGTGTTCCAGATATAGGTATTCCGGTCAGGAATTTGATCGAAAAGGATGCGGGCATGGTTCATGTTGCCATTATCAGAAAGAGCGCAGAAGGCAAGCACGCGGCTGGCTGGGAAGCGCTGGGTGATAAGTCCAGTCCTTGTGAGCTGCGCTTGGATTTGCAGAAGCTCGGCCATGGAATCACAGCACTCCATGCGGGAGAGGATTGGGTGAGTGACGACGAGATTTTGGTTGGAATTCCAGCTGGGTTTTGGGCGGAAGATTGAAGAGAAGTGAAACAGAACGCGGTAGAAGAAGAGGGCTTTGATTGGAGAGAGTTGGAAGCAATGGAGTGCAGAAGCCACCATGGAGTATTATGGCGGGAATATGAGATGGGGAGAGACCTCCCTGCGAATTTATTACTACTGGAGTTTAAAAATTCGAACGTTATAACCAAATTTGTTTTGGGGCTAACGAGGAGTGCGGGGATATGGAGTAGGTGGGGTCATTCACATGCAGAAAAAATATGAGTCTTGATTCACCTGATGTAAAAATGCATCAAGACTTCAATTATTGCCTATCACGAGTATAGTTCGGCCCTATCTTGTATTAAATTATTTAATTTTTTTTAGCAAGGGGTCTAGACTGCACATGTGACAATCAGTGATTGGAATCTTGATACTTTTTTGCATCAAAACTCCTGATGTAATATTTCCTACGCATACAAAATGCAATTTTTATGTATTTTCATATCACACGACTAAACTTTTCATATGTACACACACATTCTTTAATATTATCGTCCATAGGTTTAAAGAACCAATCTGCTATATATGTAAATATGATGTAAATATGAAAGCTTATGTGTGAGATATGTAAATACATAAAAATTGTGTGCTAGGCATATAAATTTCCCATAGTAAATTCTATATATTTATGAGATATAAATGTTAAATAAATAAATAAATAATTATAAGTGTTAAAACATATAAATATATTAATATTAAGTGACATGTAAGTAAATTTTTCAGAAAAAGACAGTTTTTTTCAATAGAAAGCAAAGAGAATGAAATAAGTCTTCAGTCTAGTCTGGAAATACTAACACATGCATGAATAAATAAATATATATATATATAGAGAGAGAGAGAAAGAGAGAGAGAGAAGTTCTATAAATCATAAGACCTCATTCAAAACTTTACATTATTGTTCTTAAGAGAACTCATCATCCCCATCTTGTCTTTACAGGCTTACAGACAACCAAGACCAACATTAACATCATAAACCAAAAATCTTTCAAAATAATCAAATGCAAAAATCATGTACAAAATAAGATATACAGAAATAGAGCAACTCAATCCTGCAAATTCTTATGGAGCTGAGATTCAATACTGCTGCAACAAGCAACAGGCTCAGTCGAGATTTTCTCTCGAATGCGACTCACAAGACTCAAAGTTTCCTGATTCTGTTTAATCGGCTGCCTCTGGCCCTGTAAATTACATTCACATACAGTACAAGAGCTTTTCTCTCATTGAATTTACATATATCACCCTTAAGACTTTGATAATTAGATATAAATTAAAGCAATCAGCATATGAAAATAAGTTTTTTTACCTCAGAAGGCCATAGCTGGTCACCTGCTCTACGAGGAATTATGTGGAAGTGAGTCTGGGATGAGCACAGAAATAACATTACGTAGATGCATGAAACATGCAGGGGTTTCATAAATTAGTCGTTAAGTTTCAGAAATATGAACTTACATGAAAAATTACTTGGCCTGCAGCTGTTCCATTGTTGACCAGCAAGTTGAATGAATCTGCATCAAATATATGAATTATTTTGCTTCAGCAACAGACCATTTATGTTAGATTTGCATCTGGAATATATATATATATATAATGAAGAAAGATGTTTGAATCCAGACAAAGGAAGAACAGAGCAAGTGGTAGACTGCACCATCTAGAAAAATTTTACTCTATAAAGGGGTATTTACATACATACCAACCAACTACTATGTATTTACATATATGTATATATATTTATATACTAATAAATAAATCTAAATATATTTTATGAATAGCTTTACTTCACTCTAAAGTTTATGAGCAAAATAAAATAACATATATTAGGATATATATGTCATTTAGCAATAACCAATTGTTTAAATATATGTCTTAAGTCGATCACCATATCGACAATAATTGGTAGAAATACAACTACAAGTTTCTATATGGGTGTAATATCATTCACAATACATACAGTAAATGTCAGTATTAATCTGTAAATGTCCTTTTAGATAAGAATGTAATTTTTAAAAAATAAAAGGCCAAAGATTAGTAAATAAAAAAGAGGATATAGCATGCATTTTAGTGAATGAAAAGTAAATGTTATAAATTATAATGGTAAGATGGAAGAGTGACTAGATTAGTAACTATTCAAAATAAGATAGTGCAAAGCTTCCATTGGTGTTTCCTTTTTTTTGATTGCTTAATAATTTGATATATTAAAAAAAAAAATTCGTCACAAAATGTCCGACACTATGTTCGCACCTCTTCCATCAACATCACGATCATGATCAATGGCCTTGCAAGCCAATTCATCGAAATCTTCGAGATTAGGGAAGTGTCAAATCCTTTTATTTCATTTATTTCATACAACAAAACATCAACCTAACATTACCAACATATCCTTAAGTGGTTTGGTCATGTACAATGGAGGAGTGAAGTAGCGAATAGGTAAAATTATAAGGATTAGAAAGAAAAAGGTTGAAAAGAGGTAACATTATACAGTATTCGCCTTTTTCTTTTGACTTTATAATATCATAAGGATAAGCTTCCAAATGCCAAGCACTTTGAAAGATAAGCCAAATATCCCTTTAAATTAAAAATAGTTTCGGAGTGGAATTTAGAACAGGGTTTGCTTCTTTATGGATCAAGTTCAAAATGTTCAACATGTTGGTCCTCTTATTTGGATATCAAGTCAAGAAAACGGCTATCATCAGCAACATTTAGCAACAACATATCATTGTTATGAAACCAAGCCTAGTTGCAGGCCATGTTAAGTAACAAGCCATAAAAAAATGAAGAGGATATATTTATTAGTTCTTATATGTTCCTGCTAATTATGCACAAATCTTGATGATGATTTTATTGTGGACCAATGAGTATAAAAGTAAACTTATATTTAAAAATTGTATAAACCGATTTCTATATATGCATTTCAAAATGTGCATATCACTTTCACAAGCAGGCTACATACACTATTTCAAAAAACCACCAACAAAACACATGAAAAAAATTTGAACGTGTCAAGCAAGAAATTTGTGGTCTTGAAAATAAATAGAGTAATTTGGATACTTAAGAGGTAAGAAACTATTATTCAATATAGAAGAACTAGGCAGCACAAAGAAAAGAATAATTTTTCTCACTTCCATGAATTCTCTCATTATCTACATTGTTTCCTCTCATGTCATTTGAACTATCATTTCCTTTACTTTTTCTTTCTCCTCCCTAAGTTCTACCCCCTAAACTAATACATGATCCTCTTTAGATAAAAAATGAACATTAGTTGTAAGAGATGAAAATTTTTGCTGTAGGAATCAAAGTTTTAAACTCCGAGAAACTATGATAAAAAGGCAGCAACTTTTGAATAGCTAGCACCAGGATAGCATTTTTTCACAATGAAGACTCACTAAGTGGAGTCACTCAGACTCTCGGTATGCAAACCTTTCCAAGAACGAGATAAACTTCCAGCATGCTTGCCAAGCCTTCACGGCTTTGACAAATTTCACTTGACGGCACCCTAAATGTCTCACAGCTAGTTCCTGTGTCTTCTCGACAATGCATTTTATCTTCTGAGCAGATGCCACCATTTAGGAAGCAAATCACTAATTGATCTCAACTTAGTTGCAATAGCTTTTCTTTTACTCATTAGCAACCCACAAGTAGTAAGGGCCTAATATCAATAAACTATTCACCTCACTAATGCAATTATGACCTTAATCCCACCCACCACTGACATAATTGAGCCTTTTGCAATTGAAGTCAACTTTAACGCCATCTCTTCAACAATTCCTTTGTGATCTCTATTCTTGAGCGGAAGGATGCTAATAACTTTTTTCCTCACCAAGTTGATGCATTTTATCAATATGTTTTATCGATGCTTTTAAACAACTCTCTATAAAAATGTTTTCTCCATCAATTTTCCTTTAATACATTCATTGAAGGATCTTATTTGTGAATTCTCCGGTAGATCTCATTGTTAAATCTTTGTGTTGGATTCATAGTACTCCCTTTGACAAATGGGTTGCTTTCCATTCGGCACATTTGAAACTTCTAAATAATAAAAAGTTTGAGCAATTGACCATTGGTTGCAACTATTCCAAACTCAATTTGATATTTCTTGTACCTTAGGTTTACAAATGTAACCATACCTAAATTATCATATATGCTAACCATTTATAATAGGAATTTATACCATTTTTAAATGTTTTATTTCCTTAATATGGAGGATATCTCTTTTATTACATCTTCTTTCATTATCCTCCTCTTTCGCATATGCATAAACTGTCGAGATGTGTCTAAGATGGAAATAAGGTTGGGAGAATTAATTCTAATTCCCTTAATTAAGAGAATTAGAATTAATTGGTAATCCCTTAAATTGAGGGAATTAGAATTAGTTTGTAATCCCTTAGATTAAGGGAATTAGTGAAATAGTTTCATAATTTTTTCTACTTGTAATCTCCTATATAATACCTTGTAGTATCAATTTAAAGAAGTAAGTGACATACAAAATTATTTCTCTGATTTCCCACATGGTATCAGAGACAGGGCTCAAACCCTAGAGGACACCGTCGCCTGTTGCTGCCATTCGATCCTTTCCGCTTAGGGTCATTCGGGTCTCCTCCGCTATTTGCCTCTAGGGTTGCTTGCAGCCATTTGATTCTTTTCCGCTGCTCACGAGGAAGATCGTCAAGAAGCGCGTAAAGAAGCAGATCTTGTGATTGCTCTGAGGATTCTTTTGCCGTTGAACCACTGAATCTTTTGTTGCTGAGCCGCTTCTTTGTCGCTCCTGAGCCGCTGATTCTTTTATTTGCTGCCTTAATTGCTACGATTCTTTTACCGTTGCAGTCGTTGATTCCAGCCTTAATTGCTGAGAATTCTTCTTCTCCACCAAGTCAATGTCCGAAACCACTGTCTCCAGCAATTCCAACCCTTCCGAAGAATCAAATGTTGTTCAGAAAATTGGAGAGTTACAGAATATTCGGGCATCCAACAGGTTCAATGGGAAGAACTATCTCAAATGGTCCCAAATTGTCCGCACATACCTAAAGAGCAAAGGGAGGCTTAATCACCTACTTGGAACCGAACCAGGAAAAAGGGATCCAGCCTCTACAGCATGGGAAGAGGAGGATTCCATGATTATGTCCTGGCTATGGGATTCCATGGATCCAACGATCAGTGACACTTGCATGTTCTTAAATACCGCAAAGGAAATCTGGGACTATATCAACCGCACATACTTGCCCTTGTGTATGAAATCAAGGCAAAAATCGGAGCCACCAAACAATGAGACAAATTTGTCACAGAGTATGCAACTCTGTTGCAAAATCTTTGGCAGGAACTGGATCGCTATTGAGTAATTAAGAGGAAATGCCCTGATGATGCTGCCACTTTGAAGAAGTTCATTGAAAAAGAATCAGATATATGATTTTTTGGCATGATTGAATTCTGAATTTGATCAGGTTAGGATCCAAATCCTCGGCTCAAATCCTCGAGCAGAAGAAAGTCAAAGGAGTGTCATGCTTGAACCACATACTATGGATGGGTTAGCCTTAGCAGCAAAAACAAATCAGGAGAAGTCGAAGAATGATCTACTTAAACACTCGGGTAGAGATAACCAAGGGAAGGAGAACAAAGACAATTTGTGGTGTACTTATTGCAAGAAACCAAGGCATACAAGGGAGAAGTGTTGGAAGCTGAATGGTAAACCTCCAAGCCGAGAATGGGGCAACAAAAGCCTTAAGCGCATATGGCAGAGCAACCCAATATTGAGGAAAATTCAGCAATAGGGGGGTTCAGCAGTGAAGAAATTGAGAAATTGAGAAGCTTGTTGGGATCTCTTGAGAAGCCTTCTGGAGCATGTTCGATAGCTCTTTCAGGTAAAACTGTTTGCATGAATGTCTTAGACAAATTCTATACCAACTCTTGGATCACAGACTCCGATGCTACTGACCATATGACCCCCACATCACAACTCTTCCACACCTATACCCCATGTCCAAGTAATAGAAAAATTATCATAGTCAATGGCTCTTTAGCTACCGTTGCAGGGATTGGTGATATGCATATCACACCTAGCCTTTTTCTTAAAAACGTTCTTCATGTACCCAAACTGTCAATAAGTCTTGTGTCCCTCATGATCTCAAATGTTATGCTGTTTTTTTCCCTTCTTATTGTGTTTTTAAGGAACAGGACTCGGGGAGGAGGATTGGACTTGCTAAGGAAAGGAGCGGTCTTTACCACCTTGAACCATCCCAGAAAATTAGGAGCAATTTGTCTTCATCTTTCCTTAGTTCCTCGAACAAAGATGTCATTTGGTTGTATCACTTACGTCTTGGTCATCCCTTTTTTGGGGTTCTAAATATAATGTTTCCTCATTTATTTCAAGGATTATATATTTCTGATTTCATTGTGACATTTGTGAATTGACAAAACATACCCGTGTATCTTTTCCTATTAGCAATAAAAGAAGTTCTCATCCTTTTCATCTGATTCATAGTGACATATGGGGTCCTTCCACTATACCTAATGTTTCTGGGGCTCGTTGGTCTGATTGCACCCGAGTTACATGGCTCTTCATTCTTAAACAAAAATCTGATGTTAGCACTGTTATACCTAATTTCCATTCAATGGTTCAAAATCAATTTGAGGTCAAAATAAAATGTATTAGGACAGACAATGCTAGAGACTACTTCAATCAAATTCTATCACCTTACTTTCAATCACAGAGGATTATCCATGACTCATCATGTGTGGACACACCCCAACAAAATGGGGTAGCTGAAAGAAAGAATGGGCATTTACTCAACACCACCCGAGCCTGACTATTTCAAGGGAATGTTCCTAAGTCCTATTGGGGAGAAGCCGTTCTTACTGCCACATTTATGATCAATAGACTTCCCTCCCGTGTGTTAGAAAACAAAAGCCCCATAGAGGTCCTAAATAGCTTCTACCCTCCCAGGGTATTTGGGTGTACTGCCTTTATTCATGTCCACAAACAACATAGAGGGAAGCTAGATCCCATAGCCATCAAATGTGTTTTCCTGGGTTACTCCTCCACTCAAAAGGGATATAAATCTTACAACCTCTCTACCATAAAATTTTACATCTCTGCAGAGGCCACTTTCACAGAAAATAAACCTTTTTTTTTTCAAGTCCTCTCTTCAGGGGGAGATTTCTATGATGGAAGATAGTGCTTGTGAGCCCTTTGAACCACTTAAAACCCTTGACCTTCCACATGTGTCAGCCCGTGTTGTTGAACCTGAATCAAACTCTCCTCCTGTTCCAGCTGAACCCGAGTCCTCTGAACCAATCACATCTGAGTCGCCTGATCCTGAACCCTTATAATCTCTTACTCCAACCAGTGTCACTCACGATTTCTCAAGATTTCCTCAGGTGTATTCAAGGAGAAAGGCCGTTCCTGAACTAACACAAGTCCAAGAATCCAATGCACTCTATCTACTATCTCACTATGTATCTCTCAAGCGCCTATCACCAGCCCACAAAAGATTCATTGTGAGTTTAAACACCATTGTCATTCCTAACAATGTGTCTGAGGCATTGTCAAAAGGGGAGTGGAGGGACGCTATGAAAGAGGAAATGAGTGCATTAGAAAAGAATAAAACATGGAAGATCGTTGACAAACCGAAGGAAAAAAACATTGTTGATTGCAAGTGAATTTTTATGATGAAGTACAAGGCTGATGGATCCCTTGAAAGATATAAAGCAAGGTTAGTAGCCAAAGGGTACACTCAGACTTACGGGGTGGATTATCAAGAAACATTTGCTCCAGTTGCAAAAATGAACACTGTGAGAATCCTGTTATCATTGGCTGCTCACTTCAATTG